TAATTATTGTAATTAAATCGCTTATTCAAATAACTTTGACAACTGGTACGATAATAACGTGTCAACCATGGCGGCTTAACCAGGTCATTATCTCAATAATTCATTGTGTTGTGTGTGTTTACTTAGAAATTTGATTCTAAATATATAATTTGGGACAACTTTTTAAAAAGCACAAACATTACAAATTTTTAGTATCAATACAAGCTTAAAACTAATAATACAATTATTTGAATTGTCATTTGGCAGTATAGGGTTAACTATTGAAAAACTAAGAATATTAGTTATGATATAAAATAGCTCCTTAAATTGAATTTTATTGTGGATCAAAAGTCTCAGTAACTCTCTTTTCCCATTTTTTTAAGGTTTGTAGCACCGATAGTAACCGGTGATTACCCACTAACTATGAGGGAAAGAGTTAGAGAACATCTTCTTGAATTTTCACCTGTACAAAAAAGTTGGTGTCGGGATCCTACGATTTTTTAGGCATAAATTATTACACTTCTATTTATGCTAGCAATTTACCTAGGAAACTTGGTACAAAATCGAGTTATGAAACTGACCTGAAAATTTCATTATCAGGTAAGTATGAGGATCTTGTTGAAGAATAATTATATATTGAGCTTACTACAAGATGCCCACTCTCTCAATTTTTGTAGATAAACGTAAAGGGGAGCCTATTGGTCCAAAGGTATTTCTTTTAATTTTGGCTTTTCTTAAAAATAAAATAGAAAAGAGATTAATTAATTCCAACATTTAGTCTATAACATATTTTCATACGAGATTATATTCTAATAACTGACCAACTAGATTAAATAACAATTTTTCAATGCGTATAGTTGTTAATGTCAGGACGGTTCGGATTGGTTGAACATTATTCCATATGGAATTTACGAGTTATTGGTTCATATGAAGAAAACATATAATAATCCCATCATTCACATTATAGAGAACGGTATATTTATATATATAGGATGTTTATTGTCCTTTTTTTTTTTTTCTGAACATCAGAAATCTTTAGTAATATTAACCATTTTTAATGTGATTTATTGGATGCTTTACTTTTTTCGTAGGGGTGGATGAAGTGAACAATACAGAACTAACAGTTTCAGAAGCTCGGTTTGATGAGACGAGAATAAAATATCACGTAGACCATCTCCTTTACGTTAAAAGAGCAATGCAGTAAGTTATCATTCATATAATTGTATGTCTGATCTCAATGCAAATTTATGAAACTATCTAACTATTTCTTAAAAAAAAAAAAAAAATTGTTGTTCAAGATTTTTTTTTCTCATTTTCAGTGAAAGTGTGCAAGTGAAGCCTTACTACATATGGTCAATGTTTGACAATTTTGAATGGGTCACAGGATTCGGTGTTAGATTTGGCATTTTTTATGTAGATTATGTTAATGGTCATTTGACAAGATTTCCAAAAGCTTCTGCTATATGGTTAATGAATTTCCTGAACAAGAAGCGAAAAACGAATATAGATTTTGAAAGGCCAAGAAGAAGTGGAGTGTGAAATTATTCTTCTCGTGTTTCATTTTAATTGTAATATTCATTCATGAATTCACATGTTTACCTCTTTTTTTGCTCTTGTCCTGGCCTTTCATGTAGCTACTTTCTACTTTATATATTCAATAAATTGAATTCTCATGCGTTTTTCTATTACTCACAAAATGGAGTAGAAAATACAATGCTTTGAAGGAGGGAATGTGGCCCATCCTTCGACCAATGAAAGAAATAAAGAAAAATTTAACTAATCTATCCGATCGATAGTGATGGCACTGGCAAGCTGGGGTAGTACTCCCCATCACTTGCTACGTTGGCCCCGCCTCGATCTTCAATTATAGTCTAGCGAGCCATACCAAGCCATCCCGTTGATTATTATTTTTTGATTTTATTATATTAACCACATCAACTTAGGAATCCACAATCTCAACGCCAAAAACTTTATAAGTAAAAAATTAGGTCTAGCCTCTATATATAGTCCCCCGCCACGTCGATTTGCAATCCTTGACTATCGAGAGTGTATTTGGAGCCTCACTAGCATGTATATGTCCAAATTCGAATAAATGTTAACGTTATCATCTATTTTCAATTGTCATTTTTGAGTGTTCACAATAATATTTCTCTTACTTTTATCGTCCTCTATTTTTCGGGCTACTCTCATTTTCATGTATATCTATGCAAGTGCACTTATATGCACATGTATAACAATATCATTTATTCATATCGTAACACAGAGAACTCCAATTGTTGGACAAAGACAACAACATAAAAACAATAATACATCTCGTGTAATCACATATGAGCAATTTTAATATAAAAACAATCATTTTGAACACTTGATTATTTTCTGCAACGAGCATTGTAAATGATAGATTGCGTAATTGGATGAGTAATCAGTGGATGAATGATAGCATAATTGTTTATGTATAGAAAGATATATTTTTGAAGCTCAAAATAATAAAGTTATTATACAACGATATCAAAATATAAAAACTCGAAAGGAACAGGTGTAACTGATAAACTATGTCATTTTTAATATTGTCGTATTATTGTTTTTTACTTTTATTATCATTTGATCCATGACAAAAATTCGTCGTTCAACGTCAATAAGTTGTGCCCCACCTGAGGAGAAATCTTGGCTCGGCCTGGATACTTGTCAACCCTGGCACCTTAACCAGGTCATTATCTCAATAATGCATTGTGTGTGTGTTTACTTAGAAATTTGATTCTAAATATATAATTTGAACATTAAAAACACAAGCATTACAAATTTTTAGTATCAATACAAGCTTAAAACTAAAATTACAATTATTTGAATTGTCATTTGGCAGTATAGGGTTAACTATTGAAAAACTAAGGAGTTGTTCTCTATGTATTTCAGTTTTGTATTTTGAGTTTTGAATTCATTTTGAGTTTTGTGTTTTGAATGTCCATTTTGAGATTGTTGGAAAGTGTTTTTTTTTTGGTATTTTGAAAACACCCAAAACACGTTTTGAAAATTTTAACTTGATTATAACTGAAAACCCCCAAAATGATAAATTTGTCTTTTTGGGTTTTCTTTGTAAATTGTTAACTTGTTTGCGTTTTCGAAAATAGAAAAGAGAACGTGTTTTCACTGTTTTGAAAAATCGCACAAAAAACGACTTGAAAATAGTAAAGAAAATGAGCCCCAAGATTGAGAACTAAATAAATTCACCATATAAAGAAAATGTTGCCATTTCATTTTAGTTATCTTCTGAAATCCACATTTCTTTATAGATTATACTAATCAATAGGATTTTTCAAGAATACTATATAAACGGTTTCATTTGATTTTAATGAATTTTTAAGGATTAAAAATAAACCGAACCATTTATTATTTGTTTGTTTCGGTTCAAAACCAAATTGTTGAAACGTCCACGTGTATACAAACCTATGGTATCAAACTAGTGATTCAATTTAGTTTTACAATTGAACGGTTTTTTTGTCCAGCTCTATAAGATACTGCCCAAAAGACATCTTGGGGAGATCTAGATAAAAGCACATAACACATTTATCAAATACCCCTAAATTTGAACATTTTCTAATCATCGACCAAAACAAAATACCACCATAATAAGAACTATAGAAAAGAAAGAACGTGTGCAACAAGGTCGAATTTATTACCATGAGTGCCTCAAGTTTGTGTCCAAACATCTACTTCAAAAAAACCACTCAAATATTGCTACACAAAATTTAACTCATTTAGAGTAATGTTATTCATCCCAGTGGGGATGAAAACACAATTTATGTGGTTTTAAATGATAGGTTAAACGAAAGGTGAAATTAAATGACTTATTTATTTTCACATATCATTTAATGCCACATTGACGCCACGTAGGCTGTATTTTCATCCCCAGTGGTGATGAATAGTATTACTCTTTAATTTATTCCATGCTTAAGTTTCCAAATATGTGTGAATAACCATGCCAATTATTACTTTGTCCTTAGATTAAGATTAAGTAATCGAGCTTCACTTTGGCTTCTAGCCCTTCAATCCCAATTCCCAAATTGTCAATTTTTTCTTCTTTTTGCTTCTCTTCGCTCATTAACAATAATCCAGATATTCAACATGAATAACAGTATACAATAATACATGCCTAACACCTTTGCTTCATTCCACAAATATAACATGTCTATATATAACCACACGATAATGTCAATATGTAATGCCAATTACACAATAACACAAGTTTTTTAGGGTAGATGAAGGTGATAATATCTATATTTACCTCTAATTGTGTGGTGAGTCATTTTAAAACAATAATAGGAAGTCAATGGACGTAGTAAAAACGCCAAAACTCACCTAACGTGTCCAAACTATGGTCCCCAAGAGTAAAATCATAAAAGTTCGGGGACTAGAAAGGGGGTACAGTGCCGAGGGTGTCAATCAGCACGCCAAACTTGAATTTTTTGCTTTGAAATGTGCGCCAATTGTGTCAGACTCAACACTTGTCCTACAGTGTGCATTTGAAAAACGTTAAGAGACAAATTACCTAGCCTGCTAGCGACTAGAGGGATTCACCCCCCAAATCGCAAAAGAAGAGGCAAAATGCAATCCCCCGAGTCCCTATCATTGTCAACCACGGTGTCTTAACCAGATCATTTTTCTCAAACGTCTTGGTCTTTTAATGTTTGTGACAAGGATCTTATCACCTCGGCATTTAATGCTGTACTAGCCACACCCTGCCGACATGTAAGAATAGATTTGACGTATTAATTTTTTAGAGTAACTGTTATAGAAAGATAACATCAATGTCAATCAATTATAGAGAACCTCATATGAAAGATATTTTAGGGAATATGAAGGTCTCCTACTGCCCCATCTTTTAGATAATATGTCTCGTACTTTTATATGAAAGATTCCAACCATGAGGGTCCTTCACCGCCCCATCTTTTAGGTAATATGTCTTGTACTCTTATATGAAAGATCCCAACCATGAGGGTTCCCCACCGCACCATCTTTTAGGGAATATGTCTCATACTCTTAGAGGCCAATGGCCTCAGATTGGTGCTACAGGGCTTCGCATTGCATCGCATCGCATCGTCTTGTCTATGGAGGTTTGGCCTGGGTTCGCTTACTGTATGATTGCTATATGACTGTTCTTTGAAGCCTCGTTCGCGAAGCATAACAAGTTTAATTTTATTACATCATTTATTGAATGTCAGGCATAGACCTCCATCCAAATCTATGTTAGTTTTTTATCTACGTTATTAACTTGCTACTTTTTTGGCCATGGTGGTAAAGCTGAATGACCATCAATAGAACGGAAAAATAAAGATAAAATTTACAAACATAAAAAATGAATGGATTTACAAACATGAAAAAATGTAGAGCTTATGCAGAAAATCTTTAAATAAACATTAATTAATCCGTGATTATATTGACACCATAATTTTTATTTGTTACACCACATTTTAATTATAGTTAAACTCATCAATATTTGACCGTTGTGGCAATTATTTTCTTAATTTTTTAGTTTGGAATTAAATATGTTAGTTGAAAATAATTAATTTACAAAAGGGTAAAATTAGAATAAAATATGCAGAAATGGTTAAAACCCGCGATTTCGTGGGTTGAGAGAACTAAATTACAATATACCAATTTTGGGTGATTTTTAAGTCATTCAAAATCGGTGTAAAAAAAAACTAGTAAGAACTGGTTCTTTTAGCTCCTCATAAACAGAACCACTCAAAATCAGAGAAAAAAACTCCCAAGCAAGCCGTAAGTATAATTAAAACATGGTGTAACAAATAAAAATTATGGTGCGAATATATTTATCCAAAATACAAATGTTGTTTGGATATTCCTTTCATGCCCTCATAATTCTCTATAAATACCTGATTCATTCTCTCAAAGAACTCAATCTTCTCCACTTCAAATTAACTGCCCTTAACATTTTATAATAATGTCTAGCCAAAGCTGTCGCACAAGGATGGGCGAGGCTGTTATAGCTGGAAACGCGGAAGCCAAGATCAAGCGCTCTGATTTCCCCAAGGATTTTGTTTTTGGTTCTGCAACATCGGCTTATCAGGTATGTCAAGTATTCAAAAAGAAAATGCTTAAACAATCTGAATATGTATAAATCTTGACGAACTAATACTTTTATCATATCAGTCAAAAATGGAAAAGAAAAAGGGCAAAAAAAAAAAGCTTGCAAATTGCTTGTGTTTTGGTTGATTTGTTTTCTTTGCTGTGTATTTTAGGTTGAAGGTGCTTGGAAAACAGGTGGAAAAGGCCTCAGCAACTGGGATGTCTTTTCAATGAGAACACCTGGTCTCTTTTTCTCTCTAGTAATCAAGCATACGTGTGTACACACACATAAAGATTTTTATGTTTACTTATATATGTGAATTTATAGTGTGTGTTTCGTAAATTCCTGTGTTTATTGGAGTGGCAGGTAAAATTCATGGTGGAACAAATGCTTGTACTACTATTAATCAGTATAACAGGATCAAGGTAATCCTGTAATTTCATTTGTTATTGCACAAAGTTTATGAACATTATCAGGAAATTAGTTCTTTAGCAGAATATTTTTTAATATTTTCAAGAATGTTGCAGGACGATGTGGCTTTGATAAAGAAAGTGGGTTTGGATTCTTATAGATTTTCAATTGCATGGACCAGAGTACTACCCGGTATGTATATATGGAGAACCAACAATAAGAATTAATTATTTGTGCATCATTTTGTCAAAAAAATTTAATTGGTTTTTTTTCTGTATTCGTAATTTAAGGAGGAAGATTAAGCGCGGGCATAAACCAAGAAGGAATTGACTACTATAATAAGATCATAGACTTGCTTCTCGCCAAAGGTTAATTAGACTCCAATACAATTATGTTTTTTTTAGCTTTATAGCAATTTTCTGTTTGTTTCTTTTTACCTCACAATTGGAATGCTGAAATTTATGAGTTTTATATAAAATTTAAAACAAAAGGCTAAAACCTTGAATTCTTACATCTTTGTAGGAATTGAGCCATGTGCAACTATTTTCCATTGGGACGTGCCCCAATGTTTGGAAGATGAGTATGGTGGCTTCTTAAGTTCTCGAATTGTGTAAGTAACTGAATATTGTCGAACAATGCACCTTTTCTTTAGATATTTGCAAAAGCATAATAGGAGAGAGCAAATTGAAAGGAAGATAAAACATTTAATTCCTTTGAAATTAGAAAACCTTTGGATATTTGTATTATCAATTCAAGATATATATTGTACACAAATTAATTTTCATCCAAAAAGACATAGTGAACCATATATGTACTGTACATTTATTGATATTTTTTTCCATTTAATTGATAGGAATGATTTTTGTGAGTTTGCCGAAGTTTGCTTTTGGGAATTTGGTGATCGGGTAAAAAATTGGATCACCCTGAATGAGCCATGGTCCTTTGCTATTCAAGGTTATGTGACGGGTTACTTTCCTCCTGGTCGGGGTCAAACTACAATAGAGCCAATACAGGCTACAATAAAGCCGATAAAGGCTATCCCTCTTCATAGATGTAAACCTGGGGCTCCATTTACTCTTTGCTCCGAAGGAAATCCAGGCATAGAACCATATATTGTGGCACACAATTTGATCCTTTCACATGCAGAAGCTGTTGATATTTATAGGCAAAGATATCAGGTAACATTTTTCATATATTAACATCATGAAAGAAACCTACACAGTTTTTTTGTAATGTATAGTTTATACAAATACATATGTACAGGCACATCAAGAGGGCAAGATAGGGGTAACAAATGTCTCACAGTGGTTTGTGCCACTCAATGACACCAAAGATGATGAGAAGGCCGCTTCAAGGGCAATCGATTTTATGTTGGGATGGTAAATGGATTTCTCATTTCATCCTCTTACAAGAAGCCAATGTACTTAATTTGTTCACTTCCTAATGAAGCGGCGCACTTGACTTATTTTGTTGCTTTCGATATATATATTTTCGACAATGTAGANGGAAATAGAGTTTTTTTTTTTTTTTGCAATTTGTTACTTTTTTTTTTTTTTTTTGCTTTTTTTTTTTTTTTTTTGCCAGGTTTGTAGCACCGATAGTAACAGGTGATTACCCACTAACTATGAGGGAAAGAGTTGGAGAACGTCTTCCTAAATTTTCACCTGAACAAAAAAAGTTGGTGTCGGGATCCTACGATTTTTTAGGCATAAATTATTACACTTCTATTTATGCTAGCAATTCACCTAGGAAACCTGGTACAAAACCGAGTTATGAAACTGACCAGGAAATTTCATTATCAGGTATGTATAAGGATCTTGTTCAAGAGTAATTATATATTGAGCTTACTACAAGATGCTCACTCTCTTATACAGGTATGTATAAGGATCTTGTTCAAGAGTAATTATTTATTGAGCTTACTACAAGTTGCTCACTCTCTTATATTTAGTAGATAAACGTAAAGGGGAGCCTATTGGTCCAAAGGTATTTCTTTTAATTTTGGCTTTTCTTAAAAAGAAAATAGAAAAGAGATTAATTAATTCCAACATTTATTCTATAACATATTTTCATACGAGATGGAGTAGTTTCAACAATTTATGGTTGACCCACTAGATTAAATAACAATTTTTTTTATTTTTTTATTTCAATGCATATAGAATCTTACCATTTGTTGTTAAATGTCAGGGCGGTTCGGATTGGTTGAAAATTGTTCCATATGGAATTTACGAGTTATTGGTTCATATGAAGAAAACATATAATAATCCCATCATTCACATTACTGAGAACGGTAATATATATATATATATAGCATGGTTATTATCCTTTTTTTATTCCTAAAGATCAGAAATGTTAAGTAATATTAACCATTTTGAATGTGATTTATTGGATGATTTACCTTTTGTAGGGGTGGATGAAGTGAACAATACGGAACTAACAGTTTCTCAAGCTCGGTTTGATGACACAAGAATAAACTATCACGTAGACCATCTCTTTTACGTTAAAAAAGCAATGGAGTAAGTCATCATTCATATAATTGTTTGTCTGATCTCAAAGCAAATTGTAAATTATGAAACTATCTAACTATTTCTTAAAAAAAAGTAGTAGTTGAAGATTTTTTTTTTTCAGTGAAGGTGTACAAGTGAAGTCTTACTACATATGGTCAATGTTCGACAATTTTGAATGGGCCGCAGGATTCAGTGTTAGATTTGGCATGTTTTATGTAGATTATGTTAATGGACATTTGACAAGATTTCCAAAAGCTTCTGCTATATGGTTAATGACTTTCCTGAACAAGAAGCATAAGCGTGGGACATTGAAGAGTCACGTTCAAGAAGAAGAAGAAGAAGAGTACGGCCCTGTGCAGTCTTCTCACGTTTCATTTTAACTGTTATGTTCAATCATGAATTCACTTGTTATCCTCTTTTTTGCTCTTGTTGTAATGTTGCCTTTTCGTGTTGCTACTTTCTACTTCTTTATATTGAATAAACTGAATTCTAGTGTGTTTTTTAAGTTATTTTTGAACTTCATTTCGTGGATAATTACTCTGTTTAGATTCACAATTTAGCCCCGTTTGACCCTTTCTTTTTTCATTTTTTGGGAAAATGGAGTTTGTAGTTGTGATTTTTACGAAAATGTGGTGTTAAAAGATAAATAAAAATTTTGGGTTCACATTTAAAATTATTTTATGAAAGAATGTGTTATTGAAAATAAGTTTTGAGAAAAATAAGACTAAAACAGGGGTTCAATACTTTAGCATCTGCTTGGGAAGATTAATAAACAATTTAATTTCTAGATAGATAGAAAATAGTGGTGAATAAATGGATAATACTTGTGAATCTATTAAAATGTGTGGTTAAAAATAAAATTTGACCATTTATTTAAATAATTTATAAATCATCTACAAATTAACCAAATGGAGGCTTGTTAGTTTATTGTGTAACTCTGTTGCAAAATTTGGAATTTTTCATATATTCATTTTCGAATTTTTAAAAGATTTAGTTAATTTCAAATCCCGTTTAGAATATTGAAATCCAAACCTCCAAAACTATATCCAATTTCGGTAATTCCCTTATACATCAAGTCGTGTACATAAGGGATTACATCCCCCGACATGGGGGGTGAGACCCACTTGAATTCAAGCGGATCATACCCCCATGTGAGGGGGCTGTAACCCCCGAGATACACCCCGATGTACCGCTAGCATTACCCATCAAGTTTTGCTACACTCATAGAAATTTTTTCATGGAATTAATACAAGGAGACATCCTCGTTGGCTGCTGCCAAAATGATTTTCTGTGCACTTAAAAATCCAACCATATCTTTGTTGATCCAAGTGACGTCAAATTGACGATTTTAAAAAGTAAATTTAATCTGACGATGTTTATTAGCACCCTTATATTCCAGTAAATAAGTAATGACCTAAACCCTGTAAAGTTAAGTGACTAATTGTTTATGTTTTAAACTTCAGGGACTATTTGTTAACAAGCAAATAATTCAGGAGAACCAGTTCTCAACTGTCATACTGCGTATAACTGACGCGTTCTGCATTAGCACATAAACCCCCTTCTCTCCTGCGCCATCCACCCTAAGACCTGTATCTTTCGAGTCCAGTATACCCTCAAAGATGGAGGGTTGGGACCCCACAACAAAATCAACGTTGACTCAGATCCCATTGCTGTCTGTAAAGGCTGGCCCACGCGATGGCGCAGCTTGGACTCAGCGTTTGAAGGAGGAGTATAAGGCCCTGATCGCCTATACATCAATGAATAAGGCCAAGGACAACGACTGGTTTCGGATCTCTGCTGCCAATCCGGAGGGAACCCGTTGGACTGGCAAGTGCTGGTACATTCACAATCTCCTCAAGTACGAGTTTGATTTGCAATTCGATATCCCTGTCACTTACCCAGCCACCGCTCCTGAACTGGAGTTGCCACAGCTAGATGGAAAGACGCAAAAGGTTTCTTTTATTTTGATTATTACTTTTTTGGGGAATTGATTTTTTATGGGTTTTTTATCATTTTTTTTTTGGAATCTATGCAGATGTATAGAGGTGGGAAGATATGCTTGACGGTGCATTTCAAGCCACTATGGGCCAAAAATTGGTAACTATTTGCTTTGATTTTTATTTTTAATTTCGAGTTTTTGATTGAATAGTTAGACTTCGTGGTATCTTATGAAGTTTAATTGTGTTGTACTGTTCATGCTAGTCGAATTTGGATTGGTATTGTGAAACTCACTTCAGGATAAGATTGAATGTCGATTCATTGGTTATCCATAATTAGATTAGTTTGTAATGGAGAAAGATCAAAACTTTGCCAGTTTTTCATTGTTAATTTAATTGAAAGTGGGCCGAATGCTTTTCTGTTTATTGTTTCAGGTAGGAGCAGTTAGGCTATCTAGATAACTTGATTGAATATTTATCGAACAGAAACAAACTGGGGGTTAAAATGTGAAGGAACAAGTTTTTGTTGTATTTTTCTTGGCTCAAAAACTAAATCCTTGTCGAGATTTGGGAAAATTACCAAAAAAAGCCCAAACATTCCGATATAAAAACTCTGAAGCAATCTATACTTGTCTAAATACCTCAGGGCGTAACATTGTCAAAGTAATTATCTGTGCTAGTTTATTTGTCATATTACAAAGGGTGGGTCTTAGATCCTACACATAGTGTACAGATTGTTCTGGTTTTTCCTGGGATAATATGATGTTTCACCCATGAAAGTTTACTTTTTTAAGACCCAGGATTTGCTTATGTATAGAATAAGGAAAGTGGCAGAACCAGAACCCAACTAGTGTGCTTTTTTTGGGGGGAGGGGGCAGAGCTTTTTTTAATGTTTTGTCTCGGTTGTGGAATGTGTTTTGTTTAATATTTAATTAGGTTTAGTGAAAATAAGAATAAAGATGTGGTTGGCCTTCCTAAACCTCAACTTTCAAAACTATCTTTTTAAACGTGATAAATAATACAAGACCACGATAATAGATCATGAAGTTTTTAAGCATCAATGTCCAGAGCAAAAGGATTCAGCTTCACTTTGGTACAAAATCCTAAAAATACACAATAAGTCAAATTTAGAAATACATGAAAGATAGCTATCTGAATTGTCCAAACATTGGTATAGATCTTAGGCCAAGAGAGAAATAGGATACTAAAATGCTTTTATATTTCTTTACTTATAGTAAGAAACGAAGAACAAAGTTTATAAGTTTATAATTTTGCATCATTAAATATAAATGCTCCTATAAAAACCATCTAGCGAATTGGAAGAGTGTATTAGAACAGTTAATTCGTAATTACAAATCAATTATCTTCCATATTTGCAAGTGAAGAATTAATTACATTTATTCATTACACACACCACATATCTAAAGAAATCAAGACGAATGGTGCCAATATCTTATGAGCTAAGGTAAATTTTATATGCTTTCATATACACAGTTTCCTGTTCTAGATGACTAATATGCTTCATTTTGATTAAAGCTTTAATTTCTCATATTGGTTGTCACACTGGATTTTGCTCTGCCAGTCCTAGGTTTGGAATAGCACATGCACTTTGTTTGGGCCTCGCACCATGGCTTGCTGCAGAAATCCCAATTCTTGTTGATTCTGGCATGATTAAGCACAAAGACGATGCATCATCATCCAATGAATCTTGAAGACTATTCTCTGAGTTTTAGGGGCCGATAGAATAATGTTTTAACTTCTTCAAATTTTGTCAGGAGCAACTCAGTTTATGATGCATAACTTTTGGAAAATTCTCCTTATTATTTGTCTGAAGTTGTAATTTATCTTATATAGGTGGGGGTATATTTTGGATGAAGGTTAAGTTATACATCCGGTGAAGTTTCTTGCAGTTTCAGTTTGAAGTAATGTATGTAAGGTGAAAGCCTTACAAAATTGATGTTTTAGAGTGGTTTTTTGCATTGTGATATATGATTTATCATTGTAACAAGTAACCATGTCCGTATGGATGTGTACTGAGTGTACATGCTGTGATGCGGACATCATCGAGACTTAATTTTATTGTTATTGAACTTTATCAGTCGAGACTTAATTTTATCGTTACTGGGTTTTATCATTTATGTTTTCTATTTTTTATTGTTATTGGGCTTGTAGTAGTGGGTTGACCCAATCCCATTACTAACTAGGTTTTCGCTATTTATATGATTTTCATAATGTAATTTAGACAGTTGATGAATATGATGAATTAAAGATTGGCTTGTAGCCGTTTTCTCCCCCCTTTCTTCTTCTTCTTCCTCTTGCTTCTTCACGGCTTCTTCTCCTTCTCTTCTACTGCTATTTTCTTCCTACAATTCTAATTCTGCTATTGTCCTGCAGCACGCTGCTTCCTGATGCCTTCCCATGGAAGCGGTTAAAATTGGACATTTTGAATTACTATAATCCCGATTGGTATGATTTCTGATTTCTCATGGCAAAACAGAGGTCTTCATAGCAACATTGAGACAATGATATTAGTGCTTAGAAATATCTGAAGTCTCAGGGCAAAGTGTATGGGCATCAATGGCAAACAGTGTAGACTTCTCTCTGATGCAACTTGTCATCCTGCATTGCATTTTGGAGCTTGAATGCTAATATTGTGATTCCAAGCATGGACATCCAATATGATATGTTTTCACTCTCCAGGCAAGTGGATGTATTTCTAATTCTTGATTCAATTTTGAGCAAGTGAGCGAAGGAAATAAACTTTCTCGTCTGTTATTCACCATAGAACTCCCCCACCCTGTATCTTTTACAGCATAGAGGCATTACATGTTATGGACCTCAAGGACGCAGATTTTGATGGAAGGTAGCAAACAATACTGAGTATTCTTGGTTAAATCTTTTACTCGACCATTGGAGATGTTGCCAATTGTTTTTAGAATGTCTCTTAAAATGCGAGAAAAGTCAATGTGCTTTAAAAGGTTTCAGGCTGTAAATGGATTAGGCAATTTCATGGGGACACGTTCACTTATGTAGGCACTCTTGAGATGTCAAAAGACTATTTTGGTAGTTAGAGCCATTGAAAGGTCATTGCAAGACAGACAGAATCTGTTCTAAATAGTGTTAAGGATTCTAATTCCACTTCACCCCTACCACGCTAACAGTTGGTGTTAGAATTCCAAATCAACACCCACCCTGCCCTCCACCCCATGCTACCAATTTCCACCCTCCAACAACACGCACCATGTAAATAAGTAATTTTTAGAATATTTATTATTTTATTTGTAAATAAAAAAATTGTTAATATCTTATGAGTAAAAGAATTGTTTCTAAGTTATAGGTAAAAAAATATCTTATAAGTTAAAATTATAAGTAAAAGAAAATCAATTTTATAAGTAAAAAGTTCACATAAGTGAAAAAATCATTTTTAAGTTAAAAAATTCACTTGGACATCAAAAGTCACCTATAAGTTAAAAAAAAAAAAATCTTATAATTTATCAATGCACTCACTAGTAAAATAATTACTTTTGGTAAAAAATTGCTTATAAGTCAAAAATGTACTTATAAGTAAATATATGAGGAAATTTACGTATATAAGAAAAACTACTTATAACTAAAAAATATTTTATAAATTTTTTATTTTCAATACTTCTATATTTTTCTAATGCGGTGTATCATAAAAAGTTTTAGAAAAAAAGCCATACGTACGGGGGAGTTTCACATGAAGAGGTGGCATTCTTGGAACATTGGCATGTGGCAAAAAAAACTAAAAACCTGTGAAAATCGCATGTACTTATAGCATTGTTCAATGTTTTATAACAATTTGTCACAATCCTCAATAATATCCTCCTAATCATATCGGGGCTAAAACAGTATGGCGTACTAGTCCCGCCCTTAATGTAATGGCACACATAGTACCATCATTAATAAATATTATTATATATGAACTCATCTTACAAGGCGAGAAGGAATTTTCTTATACATTCAACACTACTAAACTTGACATATTTGGTCGAATGGATTCGACAATATTAAACATTATTAATATACGAAGATTTTATATAGATCGCTTCTTTAGACTTCTGAATATGGTTTCTCAGCAGCCATGGTACTAATCTTCACATATCTACATCTGGTTTCAGTTTGAAATGAGGTAAGGCAGAAGTGCCATCAAGCCCTTTGTCACGGAAGTAGTCTGCGTACTCCTTCACAGTGGTTCCACGATACTTAGGTGAATTGTCTTCTGACAACAGCTCCTCAATTGGTGCATAGACCTTTGAGGTCGGGTAAAACCCCGAGCTAACAAAACTAGCCACAGATATTCTTGGACCAACATGGCTTGCTAGTACTCTGTGTTCAGCACTTTTGAATTTGTCGTTTGATATAAGCTAAAAATTCCAGCACAATTAAAGTTATCAGAAGATACTAAATTTATATTTATGATTCCAAATTTTTACTGTTTTAAACCACATATATTAATGAGTGAAGCTCAATATATGTTCAATGAGATCATTGTCCTCTTCACTAGTAGAAATGGAAAAAGGACCGGGTCATCCAAGTTTGAGGCATGCTGCCTCGGGCTTGGGGGCCACGTCTGCAAACTTGGACTGTACCTGTGTTGAGTGCTTGTAAAAACTGAAAACAGCAAGGTCCTAGTTACTAATCCCGAGCCCAGTAGCCAAAAGCTGGCACTGCGCCCCATACACTTACGAGTCATTAAAGAATTGAACCAGTGTATATCGAAGACTTGCCTGTAGAAGATCTCCAATATTTATCACCAAGGCACCAGGTGCAGGAGGAACATCAACCCACTGATTTTGATGTAGCACTTGAAGGCCTCCTAGATTGTCTTGTAGAAGCACTGTTATGAAATCATTGTCGGAATGCTTGGTCGTGCCGAATGTGAGTTCGGGCTCTGGACAAGCTGGATAATAGTGGCAGACTATTCCAGGCCCTTCTGCACAGTCCATGTTTATCAGGTGGTTCGTCTCCAGTCCTAGACCCTCTGATAACAATTTAAGCAAAGTGCGTGCCAATTCCATTACTTGCTTTGAATATTCCATCATAATTTCTCTGCGAGAACGTTAGCGACAATATTGTTAATATATTTTTAAGTCCTCCATAGGAATTCTTGATTCTATTCCATCGATAATTATCATTGCTATTGAAAGATAATATGTAATTTTAGATACCAAAGAAATAATTTGTGAAACAAACCGGCGGATTAGGCATAGAAAACAGACCTGCATGCTACGGGCAATTCCTCAGGCTTAGGAGGATTAGGAGCCATTTGGCAGATAAATGAATCCCTCCAGTTAGCTGCTGGTGAACTATACAAATCAAAGTTACTATTATAGACTACCCTTCTAGTCAAATCTCGTGTATAATACTGCTTCTTAGTCTCAACTTCCTGCTCGTGAAATCTGCGCGTTCCATTTATCATTTCCTCCAAAACACTTACAGGTATACCATGATTAACCACTTGAAAGAATCCCCAGGTCTCTGATGCATCCCGGACCTTATCGACAATCTCTTTATGTCTATTTGGATTCATAGTGATGCCATCAAGTTCTATTACCGGAAAAATAAATTCGGCCTTCTCTGATGTTTTGTGTGCATCAATTTCAGGTGGATTAATGAATATCCGAGGAATTTTGGTAACGCCAGCATCAACAAGTCCTTTAACACCAGACTGTGTGTCATCAAATGCCTTCAATTCACTTCTCCGATCGTACTTCTGCTCGCACGAAGCCTCAATTTTAGGAACCATCATTTTTGTTCCTGGAATCCAAAGGTTTGCGTCTTACAAACGAATCAAACTGGGGTACGTTACTTGGACAAGAACATTGATTAATTTATCATCCATGATAACTATAGTTCACAGCCAAATTTAGTTGCATCCACATGTTTGAGAAGTGGATAAAATAGGCTGACAATGATAGATAAATTAGATGTGGTCTAAAAACCCTAAGAGACTCGTCAGCTCCACGACAAACTTCAGCCTCTTTACATGTACAAATTTGGAATTCATCGTCCTTAGATCCCCAACTCCCCACTTCAACCCTTATTGTTATTGAAGTAGTTCCAGGCCCCACAAAATACTCCTCCACACCTTCAAGTCACCCTCTCTAGCTGAACAATCCACGAAGCTTTCCCTACTGTATTTCCCTTTCAGAACCCAACCCGCCAAAGAGTCACCACATTGTAAGCGCCATGCTTTCGCAAAGGTTCCTGGTGCAACAGCAAGCACCAGTTTAACTTGGTGACTTGGTAGCAATGAGTGGCAGTGCCTATTGCTACAAGGATTAAACTGGTTGTACGGGCCACCCACCTATGTTGTGGCCCTGTGCAACAACCATGGTCCTATAAACTTATAGTTTGATGTATTTATCTTATTTGATGGCCAACAAAGTAGAAAGTTTCGTAATCAATAAACTAGTGATGAAGAACAAAAAAATACGCAAAGAAATTGCAATTTAGAACTNCAAAGAAATTGCATTTTAGAACTGATCCATTACCCAAACCAGACCGCTTAAATCCCCTACTAGCCGTACGACGCCCCTTGTCATGAAATATATGGTCTAGCCTCCAAAGCAAATCTTGTTAACCTCAAACAAATTACCTATTTAAAAAAGGGCCCCTGAAATCAATGCATGGCCATGTCAAATTCGAACAGTCATCTCCCTTTTTTTCTCTCTAGACCCTCTCATGAATTAATGTTGAGGGCAATGCTGTCTAGTTTGAAACCATTCTTTTGTCATGCAAGAACTGAATGATCTCAGACCAGGCTTCATTATCCCCAACTCTCGTCTCGTCTGGCTCGGGCCGGAGGCCGGCACGGACACTCGTCTCATTATTGAAGTGTTTTAGATTAAAAATAGTTACATATTGTTGCTATGCAGTAGCAAACTTGGAATATGCATTAGCTCTTAGGAATCAGATACAATTTTCTTGATGAAGATATGGTAACATGGTTTTTTCTTAATATTTCTCAACTTTTCACATTCATAACGTAAAAAGATTTTAGTCTATTTCGCTTGAGTGACTGCCTACTTATTCCTTGGTCCATGTAACGAATTTGGTTAGGTGGGACAATGAGACATGAAGCTTACCATCTTGGTGAGATGACATTAATAAGTTACAAAGCCATCACTTCCACACACGAGTTTGGTTTCCATTCACAAATTTAGATCTTGCATCTGCAACCAAATCGGGTCCTGGAGTTGCATTATCGTGCGCCGAAGTGAATATTTTAACTTATTAATGTCAATTCACCAAGATCGTCAGCCTAATAAGTTAAATATCATAACAAAATCGTGAAACTTGCTAACTATGCATCTAGAGTTACTTGACTGAAACAACTCTGTAAGTTCGGTGACTTTTTATGCTCTCAAAAAAAAAATCATATAAGCTCCAAAATCCATCACTAAAGCATATTGAGCATAAATTGTTCTATCACAAATTGGCGACAAATTATTTGTCACTAATAATGTACACGTCATTAGAGCGCTGGTCGAGCTATAGCATTCACCCCACACCTACATTTTGTCACAGAAGCAGCCTGGATTGCCCAGAACAGGAGGCACAAATGAGCAAAAACAGCACCAAAACGATGAAAACCACAATTCCCTGCTTACATATACACCACATATCCTCCATGTTTTCACAATGGACAAAAGCAAGAAATGTATCGGGCAACATTGAATCAAACACACGAAAAAGTCTTCTTTGACAGTAATACTAATATCCTTGGCGGCGAAAAACCGGATTACATATTTGATGAAATACGAATTTACAAACAAATTTCCTCGGTGATACATTCGTCTGTGTCTTTGATAGGTACACGGAGTAATATCAGAGTAAGAATCGACGTGAAAGAATTTTCAAAGAAATGATTTTATAGTACCTGAATTTTGAGAGCAGCATAGCCATAAACATGAAAAGACGATCAATTTATACCCCAAATGAGCAAACACCAAAGTGGCTTTAGTAACTGCCGACAATCCCCTATTTTGATCTCCCAAAAGAAAGATGTTTCAAATTATGTCACACACGGTTATTTTATTTTCCCTGTTCCAATTGTTAGAAGATCAAAGCTTCGAAGGGTATCATCACGGCTACCTCTTGTGGCTGCTGCACGAGTAAAAGAAGATGATTTGGACTCAAATCCAGGTTGTAATCTTTGGGTAGTCGATAAACGACCACTTCCTGTGCCCAGCCGAGAATGACGATTTTCATTGTGTTCCCCAGACGAGCTTGGGCGGGTGCTTGACATTACGACCCTCTTCGAAGTACTATCAGTACTGGACAAGCGCCCCTTTTTAGAGTCATTTTGCTGCAGGATGAAGAGATGTCACATTTGCGTCATTGGTAGCATAGGTCTCAACTTGGTTATATATGCTTGTGGTCACTAAACTTTTTGCAAAATTTCTTGTATGATCAAATTGGTCACTAAACTTGCACTTCATTAGATTTTGGTCATTCCATTTAGTTGGCAAATAACTAGATTGCCACACCACATTTTTAGTTAGTCAAAGTAACAGACATAAGATGGAATGGCCAAATTGTAACAAATGTTTAAATCCAGTGACTAATTTGAAACAACGTTAAGGTCAGTGATTAATTTGAAAAATGAAGTTAGTGACCAACAGAAAATTTCTATAACAGTTCAGTTACCACCGGTGTCTTTAACCCATTCTCATCAATAAAACAAATGGATAAACAGAAAACATATAAAACTTCAATCATTACTACCCACCACATCTTTTGATGACGGTAGACCTTCCGAAGATCTGTGCCTCAACGGATCCCCATGCAAGCCTGCAGTCGAACCATTTCTTTTTGCAAATGCCTCCACCGCTGCACCTGAGAATCTGTCTCGAATTTCTTGTCTCACTAGACGACAAAAAAAAACAGCAACCATTTATTAGCCATTTAATGCAATTCATCATGCTAATTTAAACAACAGAATCAATGACCAGCATCTCCTTTTCTACGGGTTTTCTTCCCTCTAAAAATATTCATCCCACTAATATCAAAATCTTGATTTTACAAAAAGTAGTTTCATGAAATCCCATTAAAAGCAGATTTGAGGTACTCATGAGCTCAAACGGACCTGGAGCCTTTTCTACTCTTTCAGCTGACGGTCCAGGGTTTAAAGGTAACTTCTGCCGATAGAGAAGGATATATAAGATACACGTATTATTTTAACAGAAAGTAGGGTTAATTGACAATAGATCCAGAGAGCACAAACTCATACTCTAGAACTGGATCCGATTTGCGGATACTTCAACATAGTCCAGTCAAATACATAGTCAAACTGATAACCTGCACAATTACCACAATCATGGACAGGGCACCATTATAAGAGTTGATATCGAGTGAAAGAAATATAAGGACCGTGAAAATGGGTATAAAATGAAGAATGACAATGACTATTGTCTATGGCACAAAATATATTTACCTTCTCGAATAAATAGATCACGAAAAAGTCTCTTCAGGTATGAATAATCAGGCTTGTCCTCAAACCGCAACGATCGACAATAATGGAAATATGATATGAACTCTGATGGATACGATTTGCAAAGCACCTTTCAAAAAATATATATACATATATATGATTCATCCAATCTGGGATGTTATATTTAATTATGGAGAAGCAATGAAAGCAACAAGGAAACAATAAGAGATTCTTGTTGTAACGCCCTTAGCACACAGTTTTATAAATGAAATAAACACGGAAAATTGCACCAGGACAAGGAAGCCATAGTACTTCTATAGGTGTGTGCATTTTCTTCTCACTAATTCTGTCGTATTTCTGCTTCTTAGTGCCGGCTTTCAAGCCCTGCCAGGGAAGGCTAAAATGAAAAACAGAAACAAAATTAGTTGGTCGTGTAAGTCAATAAAATGGAAACCAGAATAATTTGAAGCCAAGCTCTTATGCTCAACCTTCCCCTGAGAAAATACATAAGCACGTAGCCAAGAGATTCCAGATCATCCCTTCTGCTTTGCTCTGAAAGAGAAAAAGTCAGTAGCATGCAAAGCAAAACCAGAAAGGAGTCGAGAAGAATACAATAGAGTCATCTTCAGTTGTAGCAGCAATCTAAAGTTTTGCTCACCTACTCCAAGATGAGTGTTAACGCTTGCATAACGAGCTGTGCCTGTGAGATTTTTATTTTCCCTGTAGAAGAGGAAGGAAAAAACTAGGTAAAATATTCAAGATCCAATTCAGCGGAACTAATTCCTGTCGTACATGCCATTTCATTTGCCTAAAATGGGCATAAGAAAACTTCCCTCCAACCCCTCTGGAGGTAACCTCAATAGCCCCACCCTCCAACCAAAATAGCTAACCCTATAAAGAGAGAATATATCATCCTAAAATTAAATTAAATGGCCATACTTATATTTCCCAATGTTCAAACTAATGCAAAATAAAAATCTATTTATTGCATGATAAATGAACATGCAGATTATGATTTAACATATTATGAGCATGCTTGGGAGTATTTAATTTAAATCTAAACAATTATAAGTTGTGGGTCCTATAGAATGCGTGGACAATAAGTATATTTCACCCGCTTATATTATAATTTAAACTTTGTCAAACATGCACTATACATGTGGCAAAAAAACTTGGTATGCTCACAGAGATAAATTTGGAAGCACTGGAGAAAGAGAAGAAACAAGTTTCACTCAAATGTTTGAGTCATCGATGTATTCTACATAAGGATCCACATGCCCCTTAAACTACTCCCTGCCTCTCCAGGCATCATAAAGGTAAATAGAATGTTGAAGAAGGTAATAAAAGGCACAAAAAAATCTGGGTGATTCCATTGGACAAGAGACCAGTTAGCAGGAAATCAAAGTCTGACAAGATACCCTGAGAACTCTATCTCGGGAAGGCAAGTTCAATTCTAGGTTCAATTATTGTTCAAATAATTGAACTAGAATATTTTCAAGGGAAACTTTACTGTTTCTGAAATTCAAATGCACCTTGTGTTGATCAGAAGAAAAATCAGCTCATTGTGTAGATCAGGAGACTAAAGTCGCATGATGATTAAGGACTTCGATATATATCGAAATTGTTACTTACTACTTAACTGCTTCATCACCACTAAGTAAACAATACTAGAAATCATATTATAATAACAGAGCATTGTCAAATACAAAATCAAAACACCACAATCAATACCATTCTCCATCACATAACTCTTAAGAAAAACTTCTTTTGCTTTCGTCTTTCTGTCAAATTTTCAAAAAATTCTAAAAGGTAACGTTAGTCCTTTTACTCAATTCATTCACGATTTAACATCCTTCTCTATCACATCTCTACATCCCTAGGGGGGACATTTTCAGCTTTCAGCATTTCACTGAAATCTGAAAAATAATGAAGTTTCAAACTGAATTTTGGATGTCATTTCAGTTTCCCATGTTTTAGTCCTTACCGTCTTTAATTAATTGCTTAAACATAATATAATAACAAGAAGCACTTCTTTCCTTCTTAAGAAAGTTGGAGCGCAGTCAACTATAAACGAGGGTAAGAGAAAATCCATGTCTCAATCCAATAGTTGAGCCTAAATAGAGCTAATGACCCAGGAATCGGAGCCCCCATCTGGAATCCAAAAATTACATTTCCATACCAGGACCCTTCCCTGTGATAGTGTAACTCACCTATTTCACATTTAAATGATATAAATCAGGAAGCCATAGAGGAGCATATCTAATATTGAAGGAATGCATCATTCCCAATATTATCTTATCCCTTCTCCATCCTCAAAAATGGTAAACTTATAGCCAGACAAACTTGCGGGTTGCAACTTTACAATCAAACAAGGAGAAGCAATGCAGACTACAATTGTACAAGTTCAAAATTGTTCAATGACATTAGCTGTTAACATCAACCAAATAAGGTTCAGGAAAGATTCAATGAGTTCTGAACCATGACAATACTGCACAAACTGGTCGTCCTTAAAATTCGAAATACAGACTTACAATTGATTGTTTAAATTTAAAATTGCAGTCGTAGCAGACAATATCACATTTTCAGAATAACATCCAAACTTGGGATCATGTAAGAAAATTTACCTGTATGGTATATGCTTATGAGTTTGAAGATCTCTGTACTTCTTTGCAAGTCCATAGTCAATGATATATACCTGTTAAGAAACAAAACAGATCAAAAGGTTGTGTTAGAGTGGGTAGCGGGCTTGTAGAGCATGTCATTCCAATGGAGGGGGGATATATAGAAAAAGAAAGAACAGATGACGGTAGGTCCAGCAAGAAGATGCTTCCAAGTATAAATTAGAAACTTTAGGTCCTACAGGACACGACAAAGTGTCGACCCTACTATATATACCATGAGTTATTTTTTTTTATTTTATTTTTTTGAAAGGCATAGCACGAGTCAATATCTCTATTAATTAACAAAACTTTCTAGATATCATCTTCATGCAACATCCCAAAAGTAATGTATAATACTTGATAATATGTATCCATTTTAAGAAAATTCCCACACGGTATTAATTTGTCACACAGAAAATGTAATTTAATCTGTTTTAAGGGAAAATATTTAACATTGTATATGATTATAAAGCTCCAGCACGATATATGAGTCTATGAGACAGTATTTATTCTATCACAATAGTCGATGGTGAATCCCACTATGGATAGCCATATTGACTAGGCTAGAAGAATCCAAATCCAGGAAATGAGGGTGGTTATAAAGACAATTTTTTTGAGAAGAGCAATAGGTCCGACTAAAATTCCTACTGAAGTATTGAAATCTAGGCAACGTATGCATTTTATGGCTGACAAAATTATTCGATGAAATTTTAAAAGGTGAAAGATGCAAAATCAACAAGGAAGAGTGTTATGGGGTTTATTTATAAGAATAAAGGAGATATTTAATTTTATGAATTAGATAGATATTATATGAGTCATAGTGTCAGACTATGAAATGGCCTGAGGTTGACTGAGCATAAACTAAGGTGTAATCCAGAGTTATCAAAGAAACATTACGCTAAGGAGATATAGTATAGAAGCCACTTACTAACTTGGTATATTGATGGAAGAGTACAGAGAGAAGAAAAAATATTTGGATAAGGTTTTTCTTTAGAAAAACATATGATAGGGTTTGGAAGTGCTATGCTGAGTGCTAGACATAAAAGGATTTTCTTTATATAAGCTAATATATTTATAAATGAGGTATCATTGAGTAGTTGTGAGAAGTAATGACAACACCAGCAGCAATTTTTTTGTAGTTGCAGCAAGGTTCCAATTCTACCAATCATTATCTCTTTCCTTCAGCAAGGATGAGCTTTCTAGAATTATCCAAAAATGAGATTACTTGCTCTGCAATCTTATTTACAGATGATGCTAGGAATAGTAAGTTAGAATTTTCGAAAGGTACTTTAGAATCTAAAGGTTTTGGGTTAAGAAGAACCAAGACGAAGTACATCGAAAGCATTTTTAGTATTAGTAACAATAAAGATGGTAGTAGAGCCACTATAAAAGATCGGTCACAAAAAATAACTGTTTTAAATGTATAGGCTCGATCATTAACAAGGAATGTGGAGCTCAAGAGAATATAAAGTTTGGAATTAAAAGTGAGTTGGATGAATTGGACAACTTCTGCAAGGATTTTATTTGATAAGGAGATATCTACCTATAAAAGGTTAAAAACAAAATTGCATAATCATTTGACAAGCCGTGCTATATGGTTATGTGTGGTAAGCCCTCAAAGGAAAACAGTCCACAAAATAAATGTAGTGAAAACGTGGATCTTATGATGGATGCGATTCAAGAATGGATAAATAGGAAACAAAAATGCATGCAAAAAGCAGAGGTACCACCGAGGAAAAATTAAGGGAATAACAACTTAGATGGTCAGGCCACATTTTGCGTAGACATAAAGAAATTCACATTTACAAACGATGGAGAGCTTCACAAAAGTGTAGTGGCCAAAATGTGCTCACAGAAAAATAATGTCAGCAAACAAAATGATACAGAGATACAAACGCACATAATAATTCCTGAAAAAGAATATACCTGATTTGCTTTTCGCCCCAAACCCATTAAGAAATTATCAGGCTTTATATCACGGTGAAGAAAGCCTCTAGAGTGCATGTACTCAACCCTATTAATCTACATACAAAAAAAGTCATTAGGTAAAAGAGTGGGGTGACAACCCTGTAAATAAATTCTATGACGGTCGCCTACTTACTGACTGATCAGCAAGCATTAGAACTGTTTTCAATGTGAACTTTCTATTGCAATAGTTAAACAAATCTTCTAAGCTTGGCCCTAGAAGATCAATAGCCATGCAATTGTATTCGCCTTCAACTCCAAACCATTTGAGATGGGGAATTCCAGCTTCATGCAACAAACAAAATCATTACGAAACTTGATTTGCCTTCACTACATAACTCATGAAAAGGTAGAGAATTAACAAATCTAAGTACTCACTTCCTCCCTGAAGAAGCATATATAACTTTGATTCATAGTGAAGCTGTGGGTGCTTAGTTTTAACAGATTCCTGGGAAGACAAAACAATTAGATTGCCTTAAAATCAGATGCTAAAAATTTAAACTGTCAGTAAATCTTTAAACATATCAAATCACAAATTCTATATGCAAAAAGCATCTCATTAACAACTCAAACTTTTTTTTTTTTCCTATCAAAAAAAGTAGGGAACTTAGTAACATGTCTCATTAACAACTCAAACTCGACAAACAAACTACCTTGGTACATACAAATATTAATTTCAAATAAGTAAACATAAAACAACAAAGGCATTGATCAACGACTTGATGGAACCTTAAGAGGCGGATAGAATATACTAAATCACCATTCATCAATCTTTATAATTGAAGACTATCTTTGACAACCAAGGGTGTTCAAATCATTAAGAACACTTCATAATTCAGCAACTAGGAAATTTATTATTTTTATACAAGTCCAAATCTGAGAGTTGAAGAAATTATCATACACACCAGCTTCACAGCAACTTCTTCTCCTGTTTGTATATTTACTCCTGAAACAGATTAATTATAGTAAAACAATTTGAATACGTGATAGAACAATTAATATTCAGATAAACATAAACAATGAATCAAATTACCCAAATAAAGCTCTCCAAAAGATCCACTGCCAATTTTTCTCCGTAGCTTAAACTTTCCTCCAATCACATGATCCATAATTATTTTCCCAAAATCGATAAAACTAAAAAAAAAAAAATCTTTCTTTATTCCACAATCGACTATTCAATACCACAAGCATCAAAATTCCAAACTTTTAAATATACACTTCAGATCCATGAAATCATCGCAGAAAATCATCCACAAACCCAAAAGGTCCTTCCTCTGAGTTACCAGAAAAACCCCAATTTTAGATTTTAATCTTAAAAATGTCACTAAAAATTTAAAAAAAAAAATGTGAGGGTCTATCTTATCTATGGATGGTTAAAAGAATGATGTGGTTCAATCAAATATTTAACAGAAACCCAGGAAAAAAAACGGTATACATATTTGGATAGAGAAAGTTCACATATGTGACTCCTGGTGGCTAGATATAAAAACCCAGATTTCGGTCTGCATAGTAGAAAAAAGTTGGATAACAAACTTGACTTTTATATTAACAATATATTGCAGAGGTATAAAAAGTGAAGGAATCTAAGGAAACAAAATATGCGGGGAAATAGTGAAGGTTGCTTCTGAGAGGGATCCGTATAAGAACTAACAAGGGGATGAGATGGACGATGGAAGTAACGTTGTACAAATGACGAAAGACTTGACTCTGTCTAAGGATATCGAGTGTGAAATAGTTTCCAAGAATTTAAGTTGAAGACCAAAGTAATGTTATTCATCCTCAATGAGTTGTAATTTCAGTCTATGTGACATTAAATGATAGATGAAAAGATTGAGGTTACAACCTCAGTGATGTACATAGCATTACTCAAACTAAAATCACGTTCTGAAAAAAGACAAGAAGTTCATTTTATAGGATACGTTTGAAAAGTCTCCCCTTGATGTTTTAAGCCTAAGTTCGAATATACATAAGTCCCGATTTCACAAAGCTTTTTAAGATTTACATTGGCAAATTTATATTTAAAAATGTGGTTAAAAATAAATAAAAATTGTGAGTTAAATGTGTACTCAAAAATAAAGTTTGATCAACTTATAATCTCAAATAAGCTTTGTCAAACAGGGGATAAGTAACTTATAGAGTGGAGAGTATAAACGAATTCAACGAAATATATGAACAATAGATATGTAATAATTATGGTTGTATATTTTAAATGAATATTTAATTTTGACTGAAAATTATAAAAAAAACTCCTAGTCCATTTTATCGTCTGTGTGGTTGTATTCTTATCGTCAACTTGTCATAATTAGTACATTTTGTTCAGAATGACAATTCCATCTTAAAGGTCTATTACAAAGAGGTCAAAAGACGTATTTGTCCCCTAATATTTTTAAATAAGTTAAAAAACAATAAATGCAAAAGTGCAACACAACGATACTCTTTACTCGAAAGCACACTAATTGAATATTAGAACATAAACCTAGGATCAAACGAGCTAATTAATAAAAAACTAAAGATAAGAATGTGACAAGAAAGGCAAGGACCTAAATGCAACAATAAATAAAGATAGAAAATTTTATTACAACTGAAAGAGGATCAACAAGAATAATATAATGACGATGTAATCATTCTTTCATAATAGACAATTATAATCACAACAATATATTTACTTTGCACCACATTATAAAACCATGGTTCTAATATAATTACTCTTTTATAATAGGTCGAATTGAATTGAAGTTGCATCTCAAAATGGTATTAATTAAACACCAAAATACAAATCGACACGAGGAAAAAGAGGATTCGTACAAAATGAATATCAAAACAAGAATTCAATTATAAACTTATATTTTCAAACTCGCTTTTCACTATAATTGACTTCGTCTGAGATGAAAAATACATGAGCAAGCAATGAATCACGGTCTATATAGCTTGACCAAGGAGGAAAAAAATTACAGATCAAGTATCAGCAGACTGTGTGAAAAGAATTATATACTATCAGTATATAATTTACACAAAACAAGGTACAAATTCAGATGAAAGCATCCCAACAAACCTAAAAGAATTTTTACTTCCGTCTCCTTTGTTTGCTACAGTTGGTCCGATGTTATTATTAACAGATTGTCGAGTTTAGGGTTCATCCTCTTTCGAAATTTCCAATTGGCGAGGCAATAGATTGAGAAAACTTCCTTGAGCACAATTTGAATCTTCATCTGTTACATGTGAAACAAGGATAAACGTTTAACAATCCCATTTCTTAAAACTCATTTTCAACCACACATTTCATCAACTTTTATTAAAAACTACGAAAAATCTGAATTTTAACAAAACCAAACGGGGGGCACATATCCTCGTATTTCCATATTTCTTCCAGTTGCTTTAATGACAGGATCTCACAGTATCACAAGGAAGAAATACAACAATGGGTTAAAAGAGGGACGGAATTTAGCAATTCTACTCCCCTGTAGTATCATCTCATAAACAAATTATATTCAGCAAGTTAAATTTTTGAAGCTAGTAATCTGCAAAATTCATTAGGAGATTGTTACAGATTTTCAATGTTTGATTGGAATAAACAACAAAGCCGATGGCATTAATGACATTTTATTCCACGATATTCAGAGTTTCTAAATACACCTCTACTTTGTGTTTGCACCCACAAACACAAAATTTGATAGAAGTCATTTTATTCCTTAATGAAAATTGAAATTTTATTTTTGACCCCTCATTTCTATCCTCAAATCCCACCACGAATTCCCTCTGCCATCCTCACCTCCTCCAAACCCCCACCGCTGCTCCTTCTGCTGCAAAGGTCCTCAATATTGGGAGGCGAATGGAACTGAGAAAATTTCGGGGATATTTTTGAAATATAGGCATGTAGAGGGTAATGTTGTAGTATTTTGAATTGGAGAAAAAGGTGTGAACGCCGAATCGAATACTCGACAAAATTATGTGTAGGAGATAACTTCAGTGGACTACAGAAACTCCTAGAACTAATAAAAATATATAATTGTGGTAGGAAGACTGTCCCGATGAAAAATAAAGAATTGTCTATAATTGGTTTAAATAATAAATAGATAGAAATGTGTGGTGGATAAATGCGTAGCACTTATAATTTCCACGAAATGTAAGGACAGGAAGTGGTTTGACCAATAGTGTGTATAAATAAAACAGTTCCCGACAAGGGCTGAAATGGATGGGATAAATAGCACCAATAATTGGCACTTTTAGATTCAACCTCAATTTCTTGGCAGTAAGCTCCTTAACATTTCAAATATAGGCGCAAATACAACCGCTTGACTTTTCCATCTTAAGTTGATTCAAAAAGACAAAATTAAACTCAAGTTTAAATAAATAAATAAATAAATGGAGAAAAGGGGCAAAAAGGAGAAAAACAAAAGAAACAAAAATTAATCCTTGGATCCTGGCAAACCCATTCCACCAACCCTCCCCACCTACAGCCCCAGTTTCCACCACTCAGTCTTAAATCCTCCATGGCCACCATTTTAAACGCTACTTTGTCACTCTGAGGTCCCAACCCAATTTTCACTTATTCAGTTGAAATAGAAGAAGGTTTTTGGATCAGATGATTCAATCAACCGCCAATTTCATTAATAAGGTAATGGATCTTTAAAAAATAATGGTCTGTAGAGGTAGAATAGAAAATTCTAATTATTTCAGATTGCGAGAGCAATTCTGAAGATTGGAAAAGAGAATTATGATTTCACAATGGCCGCACTTTCAGCCATTTGGTTGTTGGTGCTGCTTTGAATGTTCATTTGAATTCAATTTGAGATAGGTAAAAGGATGTTCACAGTGAGGCTTGGGATTTTGGTGGCAGGCTGTAAGAGACCAGTTGCTGTAGTTGCAGTGATATCTGGTTCGTTTGGAGCTTGCAATGGGGCTGTGAGCATCAGGTTGCAGTGCTGGGAGGTCGTTAAAGTGGGACAGTGATGGCCTGATCGTGGTGGTGGAAGCGGCACAGAGGTGGGGGTAGTGGCAGGGTTGGGGATGGGTTTAGGGTTGCGAAGGTGGAGCCGTGGAGGAGAGGTTACGGTTTTAGGGCCCGTTTGATTCTCGTTATTGTAGAATGAGAATGAAAAATATAGCCGTTATTGAGCCCCACACAAGAGATAGAAATTCAAAATTGATGACTTGATGTGATGGATAATGGTCATATTTTTTATTTTTATGGAAGAAAATGAGAAACAAACTGGGGCATAATATAATAACTCTATATCTCTATTATTCTTCACTTATCTGATCAAGTTTCAAGGAAACTTGGTAAACTTGATAGTGCTAATGCAATCTTTACCCAACAAATTGTTCATTGAAGAAAAGTTTTTTAGTTTTAAGATAGACTCATCTAAAGACATAGTTGATAATCTTGATACCTTTATAAATTGGTACAAAATATCACTAATGTTGGGGACAAGATATATGAGGAGTATAAGTAGTTATACTCCTCAATGCCATACCAAAGACATACAGAGATGTCAAAACTGCCATTAATTATGATAGGGATATTTTGACTCCTGAGGTAGTTATAAATTCTTTAAGAAGTAAAGATTTGGAAATTAAATCTGAAAAACACGTGAAGGAATTAGAGAGTTGGTTTGTAAGAGGCGGACAATTTAATAGGCAAGGTAATAATCAATCTAATAAAAATCATTTAGAAAATAGTAATAGTAATAAGAAGAAGTTTAAAAGGAATCAAGATCCAAAACTAAATCAAGGAATAGAAAATGCTATGGGTATGGGAAGATATGGCACTATATAAAAGATTGTTACAAAAAAAAGAATGAACGGAGGGATAAGAATGTAGATGAGGGAAATGTGGTTGAACCAGTTGAACCAAATGTAGTTGATGTATATTTCGTCACTAAGTCATCTGATTTGGAATCAGCAAATTATGTTGTTAACAAACATCATATCCAAGAATGGATTTTGGATTCAGATATACCTTTTATATTACATATGAAGGGTTCTGGCTCTAAAATTTTAAGAAGCCAAGAAGTGGTGAAGTTGTGATGGGAAATAATATTGCCTTCAATGTTGAAGGAATATGTGATGTGACTCTAAAATTTGAAAATGGTTACATGTACAGCATTGA